GTCCAAATCCAATGCGCACTATACCCTATAATCCGATGGCTCTGTTGAGTGTGGAACGAAGTCTGGCTGTGCCGTCCTTCGTTTGGGCGCCAGATACTCGCCCATACGGCGGGTGGGGGGCGGGCTCGCTGGCGCGCGGCCACGGGCGGAGTGCCTGGCCATGGAAATTTGCCTCAACGAGCCCCTGCTGCACCTACCGCCCACATCCGGCAGGCGAGGGGCGGCTGTGTTTACGGACCCGCTACCACTCCTCGGTGCATTTTAAACGGGGCCCGAGCAGAGTGACGGATGGCGTACCTTGTCGCATGGGGGGCTCCACCATGAGCCCGATTCGTTGATGTGTGTGCCTGCCTGCTGATTTTTTTTTTTTTTTTGACACGCTGGCGTCTCCCACAGCGAGGTTGGCTTAGAAGTTTGCGAAAGAAGTCCTGGGAGCGTCTCATGGTGTGCCAGTGTGAATCGCGGATGCCATCGCCTCCGTCGGGCGCTGCGGAACACCAAGCGAGGAGGCACCGGGGCACATTTTCCTCTACTGTTCGTTTTTTTTTTTTTTTGCGGCCTGACGGGCGAAGTTCCGCTTGGAGGGATTGGAGATGGCCGAGCGATGCCCTGGTTGGCCGCTGGCTCGGTTTCTTTGTGGCCCGTTTGCTCCCCCTGTCTCGATCCGCCCGTAGCCCGAGACGGTGTGGACAGCGGCGCCGGTCCGTTCGAGGTGGGGGCGCCTTTGGCTTGCTGCTTTAATAGTTAGTCTTGCGTTGTTTCGGTTTCTCCCGCTTGAAACCTGAAGACGGTGAACCGTGCTCTCGAAGGCATCGGTGTCGCCGGTCCGCGTCCTGCTGGTCCTTTGGGTGCCTTCGCTTCGTCCGAGGGGGCGAGAGAGAAGAAGCTGCAAAAATAAAAGGAATAACAAAAAGTCGCGGCAACCTTCGCGTCCCCTTCCGCATGCGAATGGGCTCTTCTTTCCCCTCTCTTTTTCTTTACGTTTCCGTGCCTACACATCCTGGGCCTGGGTGGCGGGAATTAGCGCACTCTCGCATCCCACGCAGCGGTCGCGCCTGGCCCGCGTTCCTTCTTCCTTACTTTGCGCATTGTCGCTTCGCGCCCCGCCCGCGGTTTCCTCCGTATTCGAAGGAGAAGCGGGAGGAAGCTGCTGCCGCGATGCCAGTGCTGGCTGTTGGTCCTCGACGCGCTGCGCTTCTGGAGGCCGCTCCGCCCCGGCGCGGGCCATTATTTCATGGAACTGCTTGAAGGAGTTGCGTAGCATGCTGCGTTCCGCGCTCGTCAGCCGCGGAGAGTGGCCCCCGACACCCTCGCCCAACAGCTGCGAGGCTTCCGCCACTGCCATTCGAAGCGCCCGCGCCCGCCTCTCCGCGTTTGCAGGAGGCCGGCCGTAGGCCAGCATGAAGCAGCAGCGTGCGAGCACCGAGGCGCCACGCTCGCCGCTGTCATGTAGCAGAGGCGCCGCCTCCACCACGCCGTGCAAAATGTCCTCCATTCGCGGGGTCGTTGGCACGCCCCGTTGCACGAGGAGGGCTCCCAGCATGACGGCCGCGATGCGAAACGACGCGAACTCCGGCGCAACGGACGAGGGAAGACGCTGCGACTTCTCCAATGAGTTCTGCAGCGCGCCCAGGCACTCCACCACTGCCGCCCGCAAGCTCAGCGGTGCACTCTCCAGCAACACACAAACGCTGGAGAGCAAATCCCACGCCGCACCCGATGTTAGCACAAACGCAAAGCGACGAATGGAGCGAATCGCCTCCACAAACAGCAACGACGCCCCTTCCACATGCAGGCTCGCTTCAGCGATGCAAATAACCTGCCGCATACTCGCAGCATCCGCGGTAACGGCTCGCCTCAGAACCTTCTGGACGGGAACGGCAAATCGAAGAATCGCCTCAGCGCCACAAGCGCTTGAAACGGAGGAAAAGACTCCGGCAACCTGCTCCAGCGTCATAGCCTGCACGTCGCTTGCCAACCGGCTGTGGGAGAGGACCTGCGTTGTCACCAGGCGGCTCATTTGCTTGTGGGCAGGTGGTGCGGAATCCGCGATTTCGGCAGGGCCCGGCACTGCAGCACGCTTCCAAAAACGCACGCGCTCCGAAGAACTTACCCGCGAGGAGCCTCGGGCGGTTTCGTAGTGACTCAGCCGCTGCACCGCCGCACACATTCCTTGCAGCTCTGTGAAGCTCCACGCGAGCGGGGCTCCAGTGTTCAACGCGCCAACCAAAACATCCGTCAGGTCACGAACAAGTTGCAGGCATCGGTTCTTCAGGAGTATGGGATCAGCTTTAAATAGACCCGGCGCAGGCGCTTCTGCCGGGAGTTCCACTGCGATTATGGTGGTGAAAAACTGAATCAGTAGGCAGCACAGGGAATCGGATTTGGTGAAGAGTGACCATCGCTGCTCCACCATGGCCACCAGGCTGGCTAAATCGTCCCACGTCAAGAGAGCACACCCGCCAAGTTCCCCGCAGCAGGCCTCCATCACACGCGAAAGGGCCTCAATCTGTTGGGACGCAGTATCTTTGCCCTTCGCACCGTTTAGCGCGTCGGTGAGGAGCCGCAGCGTCGCATGGGTGAGCTGAAAGGAGAACTTGTGCCGCACTGCATTGGCGAGAATCAAACTAAGATCGCCAAGGTTCAGCTGCAGCCGTGCCCGAGGCTGTCTGACATCTTGAAGAAGGCGTTCGCTCAAAAGCTCCCGCAGCTGCGACGATGAGGCTGCAACGACGCTCTCTGCGGTTCCGAGTAATGCCGGCGCGAGAGTTTCTCCGCATGTGCGCGAAGGCTCCGCCTGCTGCTGGCGCTTGCCGTGCGCCTGACAGAAACGGACGCCAATGAAGTGGGCCTCCAGCGATCGCGCGGGGTTCCGCTGCGAGCTGGAGTGGATGCGCCGGAGCAGCACGTCAAACGGCAGGGAGTCGATGTGCTCCCGCAACGCGGCCAACGAGGGTGGAGGTACCGCCTTCATCACTGCTTGCCACCGCAACGCGCATGTATGGGGATTTGCCCTACGCCCCCCTCCTTCCCCTTCCCCCTTCCGCCAACCCCCGCTCCCGCTTGCTCCTCCGCACGCACAGGCAGGCCGGACAGACGAAGGCAAAAAAAAAAAAACAAAAAAAACGTCAAACGACATCTGACATTCGGAGATGTCATTTATTATTAATTTATTATTTTCGTTGCAGCTGCAACGTCGTGGCGCAGGTGGGTAGAAACACATGGCGAGAAACCACTCCTTTTCCTTATCTTTCTTCTTCTCATCTCTCCTCTCTTTGCATCGCTGGCTTTATGCGGGCTGCGTGGCATCCGCAGCTTCTTCTCTCTCCGCTTCCTCCACCTGCAGCTTTTCACCCACTTCGTCTTCCTCGGCTCCCTGCGGCGCGCCCGTGCTCTCCGTGGTGGCGGCAGCCGCCACTGGCAAGTCATGCAACAGCTCTCCATCTCCCTGCTCCTCCCCCTCCGCGGGCTCTTCGTGCTCCTCCTCTGTTTCAACTGCCGCGGTGACATGCGGCGAGGACAACGCCAGGAACTGGTTGATCGCCTCCAACACGTGGTCCCGCGAGCCACGCGACTCGTCAGCCGCCGCGCTGGGTGCCGTCATGCTGCTGGGGGTTGTTGTTGTTGTTTTTGTTCCTGATGCCCCAGTTGAAGAGGCAGAGGAAGTCGGGGGAACCACAAGCGACCGCTCTATCCTCGCTAGCAGTTCCTTCTCGGCACCCAGTTGCGCCTGCAGATGTTGCCTCTCCTCTAAGAGTGTCATCGTGCGCTTCTTCCAGAGGACATCTGCGCTATGCTGCGCGGCGGTGATGCGCTGCGCGAGACCCTCGGCCAGCTCCCGACATGCCTGCGTAAACGTCGCTTGCGTCTCTGTCACTTGCTTTTCCTGCCGCTTGAGCGCTTCCGTTAGGTGAAGCAGGTGTGCCGTCTCCTGCAGGGCGTGGGTGCGCTGCTGCTGCTCCACCGCCTGAAGAATGTAGCCGCACATGCGCTCCACAGCTTCCACCACTTCCTGAACTTCACCCTCGTGTGCATTCCAGGCCTCGGCGCTGCGGCGTGTGAGCTCCACGAGCTCCGAACGCTCCGCAGTCAGCATGGTGTTGAGGGAGGCGACAAAACTCATCTCGGCGCGAAGCACCTCCAGCAACCCAACCAACGCCGTTAAAAGCTCCTGCGAAAACATGACTGAGGCCTCGTAGGATGCACGCACCTGTTGATTCTCTGACCGCAGCGTCTCTGTAGAGTGCATCAGTGTCGCATTACTGTTCAGCAGCTCCGACATGGCAGCCTCACGTGCGGCAAGCGTGGAACGCATTTCAGCCTGCATTGCATCAAGCTGATGCCTCGCATCATCGCGCTCCCCGCTGACATCCGACAGCTGCTGCTGGTGTGCCACGAGTTGCCGTTCACACACTTCAATGCGCTGCTGCATGCTGAGAAACGTCGCCTGCCGCCGCATCCCACCCTCCGTGTGGGCGCTTGCCTCCTCACCCAGCCCTGCTAACACATCGAGCGCCTGCATCTCCGCCCTGTGCACTGTCTGCACCATAGAGCTTCCACCATCACCACCACCAGTGGTCGTAATATGTGCCTGGGCCCCCTCACTCTCCAGCACGGCTCCGTGTGTGATGAGTGCGGTGATGCGCTCCTCTTGCAGTGCAATGTAGCGGTGCAGCTTCTCCCGTTGTTTTGAAAGCTGCGCCACCTCATTTTTGAGCTCCTGCGACTGCCGCAATGCCTGCTGGATGGCCTGCGGGTCCGCCACCACACTTAAACTCACCGCGGCTGCCTTCACGGCGGCGTCTCGGATTGCTGCGCTGCACTGCCGCAGCTCCTCCTCTTGCATATGGTGGGAAATGACGGAAGCAAGGCTACCACGTAGGTAGTCACGCTCCACCTCGAGCCCCACACACTGCGCCCGCAGCGACTGATTTTCCTCCCGCACGCGGCCAATCTCGTCGGCGAGGGTGACGAGCTTGCGCGTCACAGTGGAGCGAGTGCGCTCCATCTGCGTCAGCTTCTCCTGCGTACTGCGCAGAACTCGCTCCTTCTCGCGCAGCCGCCGCAACTCCTCACGTCCCTCGTACCAAAACGTGATGAACTCGCGGCGGACGGAGTCGGGGTCGTCGCTGTTCTCGGTCTCGAGGCGCCGCCGCTTCGACACCGGTGCCTCATCGGGTGCGGCGTGTCTCGCCTGCAGCGCCTGCACGGTGGCCTCCAGCTGCGCGATGGTCGCTTTGTGCACCTCTGCTGCCTTCTCACGCGCCTCCAGTGCTGCCACACGCGTGCGGAGTTCGCGGACCGTGGACTGGCCCAACGCCACCTCATCCGCCAGTTGCGCCTCCCGTAATGCGTGCCGCAACCCGCTTCGCCCCTGCGACTCCTCCAGCTGCAGGCGGAACAACTCCCGCTCGGCCTCCGCCTGGTGCAGCCGCGTCCGCATCTCCTCCAGCTGCTCAAGCAGGCGCGGCAGTTTTAGTGCGCCATGCAGGCCGTCCGTGACGAGTTTGTTGGCCTCCGAGGTCGCCGCCTCAGTCCGTTGCCGCAGCGCCTCGACCTGCTGCCGAAGCAGGGTGTCCGACGCACGCAGGTGGCGCAGCTCCGTCAAGAGCGACGACGGCTGCTCATCCGCCCCCGCCGCTTCCTCCTCCAGCTGCAGCACCCGTTGGCGCAGCGCGTCGCGCTCCCTCGCCAGCGCCTCCACCTTGCCGTTAAGCTCCGCCACGCACCCTGTCTGCATCTCGCTCATCTGCCGAAGCATTCCCTCGTTCTGCTCGCCCAGCACCCGCAGTGCCTCCACAAGAGCCGAGACACGCTGCGTCCCGCCTTTGCCCGCCTCCGCCTCCGCCACCCCCTCGGCGCTGCCACTCCCCAGCACAACGGCCTGCGACATGGCGTCCTCCAGCGTGCGCCGCGCATCATCGAAGAAGCGCCGCAGTTGGTCCTGCAGCACGTGCTGCAGCACCCTCTCACTCTCGGGGACGCCAACCTTTGCCTTGAGGCGGGCATTCTCCGCCAGCAGCTGCGGAAGGAGGGGCCCTGCAGTGTCCGCAACCCTCGCCATACGTCTCGCCTCTATCTACGCGTATGCCGCAAAGCTAAAAGAAGAAACACAAGGAGAAGGTTCACCACCGCGTAGACAGCAAGTCCCATTCTACACACCGCAGACAAGTAGGCACCCACACATCGCTTTTTAATTTCCTTTACATCTCCGCCATGCTTAACGCAGCGCTAAACAAACAAGAGCAAAACGCTAAAAAAAAAACAACAACAATCACAACTCTGAGGAAATCAATGCTCAAAAGGTCCATCACCCTCAACGACAAGGTCGTTTCTCCTGCCACCCTCAAAGGGAAACATTTCCCAAACGAACATGACGAAGTCGATGGGGAGGCGAGAGAATGTCATTGAGAGCAGTTAGAAAACTGTGAGAATCCAAAGCAAGCGAATAAAAAAAAGATGAGAGAAACAGCTCTCACAACATACAGGCACAGACACCCAACCCAAACACTGAAAGCAAAAAAGAAGGCAAAACGCACTCTGAGGGGTGTGGGCCTCCCCCACACAATGCAACTTGCGCTCTTCACGGTGTGCGGATTCATCCTTTGCATCGCTAAGAACACTGCTCCACCAGCCTGATGATATTGTTGGAAGCGAACCTGTGAAACTTGTGCTGAAAGGAGCTGTTGCTGCCGGTGCTGCTGCTGGTCGCGGTACCACATGCTGGGCCCCCATTTCCCCAGCCGCCGGCACCGGCGGTTGTGCAGCATTTCCTTCATTGACGTTATCCACACTGGCAAGCTGCAGCCGTACAGAAACGTGGGGTGAATAAGGCTCAGTAGCGGCGCAGTCGATGGGAAATGGTGTGACACAGACCATTTCAGGCTAGGCGACATGTCGTCGCGATCGCTAAACTTTTCCAACGTGTTGGCGAGCCTAATGCAGGCGCCATTCATCCACATGCAACCATAAAACAATGACAATAGGCGCTCGTAGTATGCCAACTGATTGGTATTGTTCCCATCACCGGCCGTGTAATATGCCAGCGGCAGCAAGTTAGTACGGCTTCACCTGGCCCGGCAGTCATTGGCTGCGGTGTAGTCGATGTACCAGGGAATCTAACACGTCCTAAGAAGAACTGACTGGGAGATGCACGTGGTGTCGGTCATATGTTCTCCGGAAGGGCACCTGGCATCCACGGCCACGTTTCCCTCGTCGCACTGTTTTGACTCGTCTATACTACTTCAACGCAACACGACAGCTCGTCTATGCCGCTTCGTCCCCAAACGAAAATGAGGCCTCGCCGTACTCCACCAAAGACTCAGCGCATTGATACAGCGGAATGGGGGTTCCGCACCAGCGAGTAACGCGTGTGTTGCCCCATGCCGGAGGAGCAGCACAGCAGTACACCCGTGGTGCATAACGGACCTTCGCTGGGACTTCCCTGGAGGCGCGTAGCCTCTTCCGAGGCGGAGTGCTTCGTGACGATGCGCCGCGCCGCCACCCACACGTGGACCGTACTGATCCCGCAGTATCTGGCGTGTGCTGGTGTCGGCTGCGAACAAAATGTCGTGCCCCGGGCTGGACACGTTGAAGGCGAGCCGCGGCGCCCACCCGGGCACTGTGACGAGGAAAAAGTAGCACCAACAACAACGCCAGCAGCATCGATAACGGGGCGGGATACGTCCACACGGCGTGCGTGGTCATTCGCGTTGCCGGAAAGGGTGGATGAGGCGGCGGCCCAAAATTCTTCAGGAAAAGCCAAAAAGCGCGCGAGGGAAAGAGATAAAAAACAACAACCAAAAAACCAACGGAGAAACGCATGAAATACATGGGACCGCTTTGCACACACCAAGACCCACACACACACACATCGCTAAGATAAAAAAAAAAGAGAGTGAGGGGAGACGTCAAAAAGCCGCAGGAGTCGCCACAGACATAGCCGTTCCCCCTGCCTCCCCTCTCGCCCAGAAAAAGAAGCACGCTGAGAAAAGAAAAATCCCCTTGCTTTCATCACATGCCAAGCCAAATGGTGCTCACCGCCTCTGCCCCGCGTCGGGCTCCGTAAGGCCACCGGTGCAATGCATGGGCGGCGCGTACTGCGGTGGGCGCTGATAGACGGGCTCCGGCAGCTCCCCTGACCGCAGCTGCGCTTCCAGCGGCGCCCCGCTATAGCCATAACGGCGGTGGCAGTTTTGGAAGAGACGACTATTCTTCGCAATGTTGCGGGAGTGGTAGTTGAAGGACGCCGCGCGGTGGCCGTCGCTGTCGGCGTAGCCCCCCGCACTCATCGTGCCGCGGGTGAAGCGGGCAATAAGGCACACGATGCGCATCGTAATCCCAAGCTTTCGCGGCTCCGTCCACTCCACCGGAAAGGGGTTCAGGCCGGCTTCCTCCACGCGTTCCATGGAGGTTGGGTAGTCCTGATCCACAAGCACGTCGTACACCGCATTCACGCTGCAGAGGTGCGAGAGGAAGCTGCAGCCCAGCTCCACCCGAAGTACTTGCCACGGAACCTTCGAAATCCCACGCACGGCCGCCTCCGCCGCATGACGTCCGTAAACCGTATCCTGCAGAATGAGGGTGCGCTTGCCAGCGAAGGCCATTACGTCGGCAAGTGGCGGGGCAGCCGAGGAGAGTTCAATTAGTACCACATTCAGCGCCCGCTGCTGCACGGCGGCTGCCTCGTTGGGGGCCCCACTGCCGGTAAGCGCCATCATGGAAAGCTTGTTTGTGCGGTCCGTGCCGTATGCCATGAGGATACTGTGCGAGGTTGACACAAAATCTCCACCACTCGCGGCACCGCCCTTTATGTCCTGCAGAATGTGATTGAAGTCACCCGTCGCTCCACAGGCCCACAGGTACCGCAGCGTCTCGCTGACCTCGGAGCTGCGGTGCTCTCTACCGTACTTGGGCATCGGCAACACAACGTCGTAGTGCTGAAAAGTAACATCCGCGGTAAAGAGGCAGTCGTAGTACGGGCACGTGCGCATTTCATGTATTTGCTCTACAAGCTGCGTCTGCCGCAGCGTGGCAAAGAGTTCCCTAACCTGGCGAACGAAGAGTTCCGTGTCCACCTCCTCGCCGATGGGGTTGTGCGTCGGGACCGTGTGTAGTGAGGGGGACCCGGTAAAGTGCATTGACGTACCGGCGCGTGGCGGCGGAGGCCTTCGCCAGCGAGGACCACATCTCTGAGAACACAAGACGGTAGGGGTGGGGGTGGAGGAGGAGAGAACACTGAGATCATATGGATACATGCCCGCGTGTGTCTGTGTGGAAGGGGAGGGAGCAGCGGGCAGCGTCTTGTCAAGTTCCCTCCGCCACACACTGCGCATCTCAGGAAGCCTGACAACGCGCAGATTGAAAGACTCCCCAGTTTCTTTTTCTTTTCCCTCTTTTTCGTGGTTTTTCTCTTTCCCCTCTTGCCTTCACCTTTGGACTCTCTCTCTCTCTTTCCCCACACCGCCTCGTTTGCTCACTTCTCGCGCTGTAACACCAGCGCCAGCGGGGGCGCCGCCGCAACTGCCACCTGCGCCTTTGCGTGCTTCCGGCGGCGGCTGCCCACCTCCGCGTCGCCGGGCGGCGCCTCGCCGGGGTGGAACTCTGTCAGCACAATTTTCCCCCGCGTGTGCCCTTCAGCCACGACGTCCAGCGCGGTGTCGGCGCGCTCCACTGGCACCGTCTCCAGCTGCAGCCGGAAGGCCCCGCGGTGGTAAAGTGCCAGGCACATCTCCACCACCTCTCGCAGACTGCCGCGCGTGAGCGGGTGGGCGTGCATCCCGGCGAGGCAGACGTAACTCACCGACAGCTGGCGGTGGTAGAGCGCCTCGCCGGAGAGTGGCATGGGACCAGGCAGAACGCAGATGGAGCCGCCAAACCGCAGAGCCTCTGCGTGCTGCGCAGCAAGCACCGCATCACCGGCCTCCAGCACATAATCGACACCGAAACCCTGCGTGCGAGCGAGGCACTCGCCAACGACGTCTTGCACAGTGTAGTCAAAGACATAGTCCGCACCCAGCGACTTTACGAGTCGACGTTGACGGTGGAGCAGGAGGCCAACACGTATAACCCGGNGTACTTGGCAAGCTGCACCGCGC